GGCTCTATCACCCTCATAAGTTGAGGACTACCTGCATTTTCAGGGAAGCAATCCCGAACAAGGCAAGCATTCAGGGCTGACTGTTTTTTATTGACTATTTTGGTTTGTCTTCTCTTCCTCCTTGTGATTCAGAAGATAATGTACCTTAATCGGTCTGCAGCTATCCATTCCGAACCCAGCCGTTGTAAATCCATTAATGCTCCAGCTAAGTATTTATGAAAGGTTAATAATTCAGAAATCGCACTCAGAGAATCATAACAGCGCCGAGATTCCAAGGCATAACATGCGCGGGCTGCCAAGGCGGTATTGTTAAATTGCTATGATTCTTGCTTTTAAAAACACATCAAAAATATTGTGTACCAAAGACTTATGCGCGGAGGGGAAAATATATATGTGCAGGGAAGCAATAATTCAAAATTGCAGCATGTGTGCGCCTTCTGGAGTGTTTTTAATATTGGCAGAGAGCACTTGAAATATTTTTATATAGATTTCAGGCGGAAGGGAAATGAAATATCGGAACTGGTCTGGTTTTCAGGAAGCACAGGTTAGATTGGATGGTTTCTGAGGTTAGCAAAGTGCAGCTGTTTTTGAGCGGAGGAGGTTTGTGTGTGTGTGGGGGGGAGAATTTAGAAAGTCATGTCTCTTTCCAACTGCTTAGTATTCTAGGTAAGAATAGAATAGAATAGAATAGAATAGAATAGAATAGAATAGAATAGAATAGAATAGAATAGAATAGAATAGAATAGAACAGAACAGAACAGAACAAAATAGATTGTAGAATAGGAATAGAATAGAATAGAATAGAATGGAATGGAATGGAATGGAATGGAAGAATAGAATAGAATAGAATAGAATAGAATAGAATAGAATAGAATAGAATAGAATAGAATAGAACAAAATAGACAGATTGTAGAATAGGAATAGAATAGAATAGAATGGAATAAACATTGTAGAATAGAATAGACAGAATAGAATAGAATATGGAATAGAATAGAATAGAATAGAATAGAATAGAATAGACATTGTAGAATAGAATAGACATTGTAGAATAGAATAGACATTTTAGAATAGAATAGAATAGAATATGGGATGGAATGGAATGGAAGAATAGAATAGAATAGAATAGAATAGAATAGAATAGAATAGAATAGAATAGGAATAGAATAGAATAGAATAGAATAGAATAGAATAGAATAGACATTGTAGAATAGAATAGACATTATAGAATAGGAATATGGAATGGAATAGAATAGAATAGAATAGAATAGAATAGAATAGAATAGAATAGAATAGAATAGAATAGACATTGTAGAACAGAATAGACATTTTAGAATAGAATAGAATATGGGATGGAATGGACTAGAATGGAATAGAATAGAATAGAATAGAATAGAACATCCCTCT